GTTCAATAACCAAATAAAGAAAAGATATATAACATAGAAAAACAAATAAAATAAAAACATGTTCCCCTCGTGTAATATATTAGAGCGACTCCAACTATAAGACTCAACTGACAAGCAACTAAAAAGGCACAACACCATTCTCAACATCAAACTCCTACTCAAGTATCTGATTATTTGCACTCTAGAGGAACATTGATGCAACAACACAAAAGGGGATGGGAATATGTTCAAATAATAATAATCAGTGCACAAATAATCAGAGTAGATTCACACATCAGAAATTATGCACATATCAAACATGCACCACAATATCACATATTCATATTTCACGCACATCACTAATCACACAAGTCATACAAAAGTATTTATCATTATACAAACAACTGATATGCATAACCATTATGTAATGCAATGCAACGTCGATTCAACTCATGCTCATCACAGTCCCCACTCTAAATTGGACTCATGACTAAACTTTATATGCATGCTCTACCGACTCAACATTTGGTTCTTCATAAGAACTGAGTCCCCTCTCTGACCCCGAGCCTCCACTATGAGCTTCAAGCCCCTACTATGAACTCGTGACTCACCTCTTTCACAACAACGACAACACATGATGCAAGACATATAACAATAACAAAACAACGAATACAACCTCACTTTGAATGTAAATAATCACGCAACAACATAGTAATGAATACATCTTCGCTTTGACTGTAAATAATCATGTTGTAACAACAACACACCAATGATTATAAACCTACTCTGACTGTAAACAATCATACATTTTACAACGTGTATTCACACATTTAACATGCATAAGCATATCATTCAAACATGTCAATTCATCTAACAAGGCACTACCATAATGTAGATATGTGCGTTAGCTTTCCAATGCTTCAAACCACACCTCAATTCAAGTCACAAAACTCAATTTATGACAACTCAAGTCGCTAACAACAGCTCTGTGTTGTCATCCTCACCAGGCGAGCACAACAACTCGCTGGGCGAGGTCGTTCAGATTTGCAGCACCAGAAACATGATTTTTGCCCCTGTAACATCTCTGTAACTCCAAATTCCACCCGATAACACCCCAACAATCCATAATTGATTCATACATATATACCACATAATATCATGTTGATTCTCATTGATTTAACATGTTATTACATAATTTCATTCATGTTGTAAAACTCTCAATTTCATAACAAACCTCATGCTTATGAAGAGGTTAACATAACCACAAATCACCACATTTAAATAACACAAGTTTCAATCAATCCATTGCATAAAAACAACATCATATTCATGCAATTCATTAAATAATCAATCAAAAGAGAAAAAAATAAAACCTTATTGGATGTTAAGGGAAACATCTCAATCCTTTCATGATTAAGGCACCCTTAGATGAATAATCCCCCTTACCATAAAATTCCTGCAAAAGGAACCTTCTATGTGATCTCCTTCCTAAAGCCCTAGCTCTGTCTCCAAAAGCTCTTTCTCTCTAACTTTCTCTTTTCATGCTAATGACAAAATGCTCTAAAAAACATATTTTTCTAATTCTTTACAAATATGTACTAATTTAATTAAATTTCTTTTAATTAGACTCTTGGCCCAACTAAACATAAGCTCTTCATTACTAATCGCCTCATTTTCGATTATTTCCACTCTTTATCTCAACCTTTACTATTTTGTCATTTCTATTTATTTAATTAATTAAATCCCACCAAAACTAATTAAATCAACATAATTCACCATAAATGTCACCACCGGCCAAATACGTAATAAATAGCATAAAATAATTATTTAAATAAATCACTAAATTAAATCAAATAAATAATTAAATTAAATACTAATTAAGTTAGGGTGTTACAAGCCTAAGTAATGGCAAACGTGTGATGACAAATGTTTTGAATTAAAAGTTTTATTTTAATAAGTGTTACAAAGTTGGTTGAATGCAGAGATTATGTGACACCCTATGTGAAATAGTTGTTTTTAACTAGTACTAAGCATACAAATCGTTCTTCTTCTTCGCTTCCTAGGAAGATAAGGGACTTAACTTGGAATAGTAAGAAGAAAGAGGTCGATAGAAATGGGCTATAGACCAATACTTCAAGAAACTGTTGTTGCAAGAGCGAGCACATCCGACTAGGCCCGAAGACAAATAAAAGGAAAAATGAGCTTTAGGAGTAACCATTTCCCCCAGTATGAAACGTTCTAGAAAATCACCACAGTCAGTGGTGAAAGGGCCGAACTAATGCATTTGGGGGCGAAGGGAAACCAATCCCTGATCCCAGGTATCATTTTAAGAAGTACGAACCATGGGGAAAAGATTAAAAAATGCTCCACAAAAAGGTTTCTATGACTTATGCTCGACTCAAAATTGAAATTCCTTCATATAATCCCAAACTCCGGGATGAAGCTGCGAGGGGGAAACTTTCAAGCGATCCATCATGTCCACCTCGAAATCAAAAAAAGGGAAAATGTACCCCTAAATCGGTGAAGAGGCATTCATATAGAGGCACCGAATAACGCTCAAAAGAGCTACATATCCTATCCTCCAGACATATTGGGAGAATTGACCAATCTGAGGGGCCGCCGATTGTGATGCTAACTTTTTCTATAGCCTCGACTGTATTCAAAATGGAGGGAGTCCCAACTACTTCACCGAACACCTAGTGGTACCTATTAGAATTAGCCGACTTTACTTGCCGGAGTTCCTTGTTGACCAATACATCAGCTCTGTAATGATCATCAAGGCTGGTCCAAGACATAACATCATATTGCCCTTGACACTCCAAATGACGAGCTATTTCAACATCATTAGGTTCATGACTAGTCACTCCCCTATATGTTTTGACAAAGCTACCGACACACTCCTTCCTACGACGTACAACTTATATTTCTGCCTCGGTCAAGATAGGGGGAGACATTGGCCTCTCGACAAGGTTTTCACCCCTATTAGGTTTCTCTAAAAATAGAGTCTCTGAAGAATCCTTAGAAGGAGCCCTGTTTGAAAGAGACTCTTCAGATGTTCCTTCCATTTTCGATTCATCAATCAAAGGGATAATTTTTTGTTTAAAATCTCCACTGGCAGAGGAAAAAGAATGTGATTCAAACTCCATTTCCCTTCTCAAAGAAGAAGAAACACTACCTTCGACATCACTCTCGATGATAATAGGATTATCATTCATCGTAATAAAAATACAATAAACGTTGAAATGGAAAGCTGAAGGGAATGAAAGGTACCTTGAAAAGAAAGTCGAAAGTCGAAGTTCTAAAGCTTTAAAGCTTTGAATGTGTAATAATTACTTCGGTAAAAATGCTCTTAGAGAATAGGAGAAAACTCAAAGAAAATAAGGGAAACTCAGTCTACAAGATTGCAAAAAAGTTTACCTATATTTCCACTATCCTTATATAGACAAATGCAATCAAGCATATCATATTGAAAGTAAAAAACAAGCATGAATCAACAACCAGATTTCGCCTTGAGAACACAATCAAACTCAAGTGCACTCGAGTGTATATCAAGCTACGTCACACCACTCCATACCCTTTTAGGTCGCACATCAAAGGAAAACGACAAAACGTTTCAATGATGAAAATGCATTTAATGCCCATGTTCCCATTACTCATTGACAAAATCAAAGCAACACATGCCAATCGACACCTGGACAATCATTCTTAAAGAGGCGGACACGACTACTAAAAGACTCCCCGACATCTAAAGTGTTTGACAAGTTTTGGGGGCAACTGTTCCATACCCGCCTAAGGCCAGTAAATGAAACCCACTTATCAAACTTGCTCCATCAGACCCAATGTATAAATACCTTTAGAGTGTTAACATACATATTCCCGTCTCTGATCCGCCGTATCAGAGATCAGCAACGTTAATTCAAGATCAACATCGATCAACAATGTTGATTTAAAATTAACACTTCTGATTAAAAAAAATACCATAATTAACCTTCGAACTGCAAATCGAAATCACTCACGAAACTTTGCTCCATCTTAGTTTCCGTGATATCCTCAATTACATAACAATATTAAATTTTAAATTTACATTGAGATATAAATATCATTTTGCATTGTTTATATTATACAATTATGATCACACATTTTTTTTATGTAATAGATGCAAACGAATGCAAATACATTGAAAAAAGTGAATGTTTATTTTTTAGTTAGGTAAATTATTATAATGTATGTAATTAAAATAATGTTTTAAATATATGTCATTGATTAAATAAAAAAACAATTGTATCGTTGAAATAAATACAAGCAAAATGTGTGTCAATAAAATGAATTAAAAATGTTTTTTAAAGTTATTTGTAATTTTTTTTAATGAAAGAAAAGTTGTGTAATTTGAATTATTTTTTATTAAAAACAAAATTTTAATTTTATTTCAATAAATAAAAAAAAAAATATATATATATATATATATATATATATATATATATATATATATATATATATATATATATATATATATATATATATATATATATATATATATATATATATATATATATATATATATATATATATATATATATATATATATATATATATAGATATTTGCAATTTGCATCATTTGTACTCGTACCTAGACACATATATTTTACTAATTATCCGTAAAAACAAAATATTTTCAAAGATTTGATAGTTGTGGTTGTAAAATTTTTTTACAATAACAGTTATATTTGTTAAATTTTAATTTTATTTAAAATAAATTTTTAAATAAATTATATTTTCATAAAATCGACCAAAGTCGTATTAAATAATTGATTTTAAGTAAAAAAAAGAAAAGAAAAAAGTTGACAATGACCTTTTCGTTTCGTCTCGCTCATTTTTTCCACTTTTTCATTTGCGGTTTTTGGGTCTTCAGAGTCTATCTCTAATATCTCTCTATTCTCCTCCTTTCTCTTATGATTCTTCTTCACCTCATTTTTTCCACAACACAGTGAATCGATCCATTATTCGCTTCCGATCGGAGTAAAATGGCCGATCAGTTAGCAAGGGCAGAGGATTTCGAGAAGAAAGCTGAGAAGAAGCTCAGCGGTTGGGGCTTATTCGGTTCAAAATTCGAAGATGCCGCCGATCTCTTCGATAAAGCCGCCAATTCGTTCAAACTCGCTAAATCATGTATTTTCCCTTTCTCTTTTTTTTATTAGGTTTTGTTGCTAGATGAAATGTTGAACTAAGTGAAATTGTTTATCGTTATTTTTATTGTTGCTCGATGAATTGTTTTCTGCTTTGAAATAGTTCTTGACCTGATTCGTTTTGGTGTCAATTAGTTGCGATAGAAAATGTTAATTTTTGGAGTTTTGTGAGATATTATGGAATTATCATTTTTTTCACTGTGTATATACTATACTTCATTAATGTGATTGTTGATTTTTGTTGCATGATTTTTTTAGGTAGTAATCTAAACTGGTCAAACATAGGCTGCATGCCTTTAACTTGGTTACTTTTTGCTTTAATTTGTTCTAAATAAATGTGATTAGCTTTATAACTGAGGATTTAGGATGGAATAGTTCTGTATGTTGTTTTGATTCATCCATTTGGTATTTTAGGGGACAAAGCGGGATCTACATACGTTAAGTTGGCGAATTGTCATTTGAAGGTAACAAATATGAATTAGGTTTTTGGGATGTGGTCTTTCCTGCTATATTTCTTGTAAGCCTGCAATGACATTGTGTTCTTTTGTTTCTAGTTGGAAAGCAAGCACGAGGCTTCACAGGCTTATGTTGATGCTGCACATTGCTATAAAAAGACTAATATAAGTGGTATGTATGCATGCATGTATGTAAGTAGTTATCGGTATCTAACAAGAATTCTTCTATGGTTGCTAAGGCTTTTAATTTATTTTGGACCTGCTACTCTATTGAAAATTTGGGTTATATTCATATCTTCCTATTTTGCATAAAGGATTGGTTCTTGTAGTTTAACTCAGTTAAGTATTGCTTCCTGATGGATCAACAACTTAATGCTATGAAACTATAGATATCTATACTCGAGAAAAAGAACTATAGGGCCCAAAGCTCAATTGAGTGTATACAACTCACTCCATTTCAAAATAATTGTCGTTTTAGCATAAAAAATTGTTCAGAAATGAGTGTTGTGACTCGTTTTGCCTTTTCAAAAATTGTTAGCATTACTTTCAAGTCTTTATATTCCACTATACATGTATGACAACGATTAACAACCAATAGTGAATAAGGATGTTTCTTGAAATTGCAACATTCTTTAATTTATATATATTTTTCTTACTCTGTGAAAAGACCTTGGACGGCAGTTATTTTGGAACCGAGAGAGTTATTATTGTGATCAAAATCAACATTGAATCTAAAAATAATTAGTAATATTGGCTTTGATTATCTGTCGGGCACTTCAAGATAAAACTATATATATGTGTGTGCTGCAAATTCTTATCCTCCCATTCTTGTTTTCCATTGATATCTGTTATAGGCTTTCTCATATATAATTTATGCTCTAAATGCTGGCTCTCGCCTCCATGATTAAGGCCAATTCTGTTTAACACTAGTATTTCTATTTATCAATTTCTTAAAGCAAATCAGATAAAGCAATGGTATCCTCTTTACAAAATCATTTGATATAAAAAAGTTCTTATGCTATCTCGATGATTGAGCCATCCATATGTATAAATCAAACTACGTAAATGCTTTGAACAAACTTTAAGTAGGGATTAATTTCATACATCTAGACTTGTTATAATCAGTTATTGTAAATAGTTTGTGCAAGTTGCTAACATTTGAATTTCGTCTGATAGGATTCTTTTATAGTTGTCTTTATTCCATATTTTGATTTGTTATTTTCTGTATATTGGTTAGTTGGAATCCGTGATTATGTTGCTTAACTTGAATGAGATATATATCAGTCTAGCACATGTTAGCATTTTTATCACTTGCATAGTGTAAACAATGATAGCGTTTATTATTATTTTTTTTTGTCTTTTCCGGTACAGAGGCTGTATCATGCTTAGACCATGCTGTGAATCTTTTGTGTGATATTGGCCGGCTCTCTATGGCGGCTAGATATTTGAAGGTATACCTCTGCATCTTTATTAGATTTTTGGTTCAGTACAATTATTTTATTTTAATGGCTTATGTTATCCACTCTTGTGGGTTGACATTTTTTTGTGCACTCTTGCCCATATCCATGCTTCTGGGCATTGAACTGGAATTTTCATGAACATTTGATAACTGAGTTTTACTATTATACACAGGAAATTGCAGAGTTGTATGAATCCGAACAAAATATTGAGCAGGCTGTTGTTTACTATGAAAAGTCAGCTGATTTTTATCAAAGTGAAGAGGTGACAACTTCTGCAAATCAGTGCAAGCAGAAAGTGGCCCAATTCGCTGCTCAGCTGGAACAGTAAGATTCTATACTCTGCATATTTTTTCTCAATTATTTCTTCGTCCTTTGGTTAGTAATTTGTTCCGAGAATTTCCTTTTTGGCTTTCTTTTTTCTTGGTACATTTCTCCACCTCACTCTGCATTTCAGTCAGATTAACATTATTTCAGTGCATTGCAGATTGTTTGATTTCAGGAATTTAGTAGTAATGTCTATTATCTTAAAAAATGTCTAGTATGTTTCTTTCTACAATTCATATTGTGTTCACTTGTATACACGGTGTTAGCAAAACTGTGTCCATTTCTGCCTTTGGTCTCTGACATGTCTTAGGGTGTGTGATTTGCTCTAGTTAGTGCAGGAACTATTAGAGGAATGCAGATTTTTTTTTTAAAGGGAAGGGATTTCATAACTGCCTTTACTGTCTACTTTATGTTAAGCTGAATATTTACTGTTCCTATTCTTTTTATTATAACTTTTCAGATATCAGAAGTCGATTGAGATTTATGAAGAGATCGCACGCCAATCTCTAAATAATAATTTGCTGAAATATGGAGTTAAAGGCCATCTTCTTAATGCTGGCCTTTGCCAACTGTGCAAAGGGGATGTTGTTGCCATAAACAATGCATTAGAAAAATACCAGGTTTATAAATTTTAACAGTATACATCTTGAGACATTAAACAACTTACTAGCTGCTGAATTCTTTGGTTGGGTATGTATTTGATTTGCAGGAATTAGATCCAACATTTTCAGGAACACGTGAATATAGGTTATTGGCGGTAGGTCACCATTGTTGAATATTGAATTTCATTATTAATTTTTCATGACTAAAAGAATTGGGATTATTTTGTTTACAGTTTACTTGTATGTTTTGCATATGAAATAATGACATTTTTGGGTCGACAGGATGTTGCTGCGGCAGTTGATGAAGAGGATGTTGGAAAGTTTACTGATGTTGTCAAGGAATTTGATAGCATGACTCCTCTGGTAAGCTTCAAAAAAATGAAACTTGGAATCAACATTCCCATATAGTTTATATTTAGCAGAAAATTTCTCAAGTGTAGTTTCTGTTCATATTTAATTATAACAGAAACATAACTTTTCACAACCAAATCGCCCCATTTTACTGCATTTAAATGGAAATATTTTCATTAACTTACACCTGCGTGGAATTTTATGCTGAAATTTAAGTTCTAATTGACTACCTCCTATGAAACTCGCATGTTATTTTTTTAATCAATATTGTTAAGAGTCCCGCATTGGATCATATATGGCCTGAACATGTGTTTATAAGCGGGGGACAATCTTCACCCTACAAACCGGTTTTGTATGGTTGGGTTAGAACAAACCACATTTCTTAACATGGTAAAAGCCTCGTTTAAGATCCGTTGGGCCACCTGTTATTAGGTTTCCCTTATTGGGTCACCTACCATTTATTTCCATGCTCTAGATATCTAATCTTGGAGCATTGGACATTCGTTGTTGCTCTCAACTTCCCTGGACTCTCCAACAAGTGGTATTAGAGTTATGGTTCGACTTGGAGGGGGAGCAGGAGCTAGATTCAATGTTGGATTCTGTTAAAGGATGTGGGGAATCCCACGTCGTCTATGAATGAGGGTAATGTTGGATTTATAAGAGAGGATACCCATATACTTGATGCTTTAAGGTTTTGGGTGGAGACGTGGTGTCTCTTTCTCTTGTGGTCCTAAAGCATTGAGGGCCTGATGGTGCTCCCAATTTTTCCGGTCTTCTCAATAAGTGGTATCAGAGTCGGGTTATGAACTGCAAAGGGGAATATATTATTCAATGTGAACATTTGACCCAACGTAAGGGTGAATTTTGAATATGTATTTGTGTTATTGGAGTTTGCTTGAAATCTCACATTGCTTAAGTTCTTGGACTATTGAACAATAAATATGTGAGGGCGCAACCTCACCTTTTTAGCTTTTCTTCGACTTTTTTTAAAATCTTCTCAGTCAAACATTTTCCGGGTAGCCAATTAATTTCCCGGGTTGCCCAGTCAAACATTTGAGAGTATTAATTAGTTCTCCACGACGATCATCATTGAGAAAAAGAGAGATCTCCAAGGTCGAAAACTTGCTTGTTGTCATTGATTGTGAGAGAAAGGGAATAAAGGTAATAAGAAGCAAGGTTGGGACAAAAGTTAATTGGCTATCCGGGAAATATTTGATTGAGAAGATTTTTTTAGAAGATTTTGAAAAAGAAGTCTCAAAGGTCGAGGTTGCACCCTCACATATTTATGTGTTAAATAATCCAGGAAGTTAAGTAATGTGAGACTTCAAATAGTCTAGGAAGCCAAGTAACGTGAGATTTCACCCTCACGTTTGGTCAAATGTCCACCTTGCAGTCTCTAATTACATTTGTTAAGGAGATTGGGGAAGTCGGAAGCTTCAACTGGCGCCCAATGCTCCAAGACTACAAAGGAGAGAGACACCGCATCTCCACCCAAAACTTAAAGGCATTAGGTATATGGGTCCCCTCTCTTATAAATTGAACATTTCACTCAATCATTGGATATGTGAGTATTTAACCACTCACACTTGCATCCAACATTACCCCCACAAGTGAGTCTCTATATCCTATAATATGATCCAACACTGGATCCATCTTCTGCTCACCCACCAAGCTGAATCATGGCTTTGATACCACTTGTTGGGGAGTCTGGAGTAATCGAGAGCAATAACGGGTGTTTAATGCTCTTGGAGCAGTCCTGGGCTTGAGGGGGTGTTTAAGAGTTCCACATTGAATAATATATGACCAAATATGTGTTTATAATTGGGGACAAACGTCACCTTATGAGTCGGTATTGTATGGTTAAGTTAGACCAAATCACATTTCTTAACAAATATGCATTATTTGTTTGAATTCAAGCATTCTTGTTTCGAATGGTAGATTACCGGGCAATAAGAAGTCATCAAAATTGGTGAGATTTGACCCATGCCAGCATGGTTATGCTTAGAAACATTAGTTGTTTTTTTGTCCTATTAAATCTTTCGACTTAATGGTTAAAAGAGATGCTCCGAAGTAAGAGTTCACTTTTGAGGAGCCAAGTTTGAAGTTCTGAATTCTGATGTTATTTTCATATCTCAGCTGCAATGAAGCACCAATACGCCAAAAACTCTGCCAAGTCGTATCCGATACGTACTGATACACTGATACGTATCAAAGAAGTATCCGAATTTATTTTATTTAAAAAATAAATTAAAAAATTCCGATACGACAGCGATACTGATACACCTTCGATACTCCAGGATACTGATACACCTTCGATACTCCAGGATACGTGATTTTATTTTTTTTATCATATTTTCTTTTTAATAACCCTTTATTCCCCCTTTTAATTGACCCTTCGTTTCTAGTCATTGTCTTTAATATCCTAATTAATTCATTACCTATAATTACCATTTCTTAAAATTGGTTTGATTTCCCAAACTTCTTATCATTACTAATATTTAAAATTTCATTCATATTAATTATTACTTATTAATTTTATTTATAATAGAATATTTTTATTCAGAATAATATTTTGCTTGCCAAGTTTCTTTCATTTTCTCCCTACCTTATGAAATAAATTTAGAAGCCGGTCTATTTACCTACGATTTAACTAAATATTTAATTATAATTTTAATATACGTATCTTAAACATATCGTATCTAATATTTTTTAATTAGTGAAGTATCGCCATATCGGATACGTATCATATCGCATCCGTGCTTCATTGCTCAACTGCTTTTTTCAGTTTCCTAATGATACAAAGCTCCCTTATATAAATTTTCTAGGGAAGGGTTGGATTGATTGTAGACCTAATGGTCTTATTGAGGTAGTCTTCGTATTTGTAAGATCATGTTTTTATCCATTTTATTAATCTCAAGATATTTCTTAATAGTTTCTCTAGGTCTTCCCCCACTTCTAGTTGTTTGACTTCTCCAGTTGATCTACTCTCTTTATAGCATAATTTATAGATATTCTCTTTACACATCTAAGCCACCTAAGCCTATTTTTCATAATCTTTTCTACTATAGATGCTATTACAACACTCTAATATTATCATTTTTAATTTTATCCTGTCCCATCTAATCTTTTCACGTGTTTTCTCTTTAACACGTGAAAATAAAATCAACCAAACATGGAATTTGTCTCTTTTATCGGTGTTACAAATGCTATGGCTAGAATGGTCGGGGGTTCAAGGTAGTACCTTGAATTAACTCAGTGGACCCAATCCTTCCCTTGGTTTGCTAGGGTGGAAGCTTTATAGCACCAGTTTTCCATTTTTTTCTTTTATCAGTGTTACATAATACATTATACTTTGAATTTTGATGATAGACTGCTTTGTTATGATGTTATACTTCTGGTGTATTTAAGATATTCAGCCTTTATGTTCATGGACAGGATGTTACCTGTTCTTGAATCATGCAACTGGTTCTTTTCCTGTTATGATAGCTGTGTTTCTTGTCAAGGAAATTTGTATGAAATTGTAAAATACAAAAAAAATATTGCTTCTGAAATACGGTGTGCTTGCCATTCTAGTGTAAAAAGCCTACTTAACTATTGTGAAAATGATTTGGAAATGTTGTTGACTTAAACGTCACGACGGTGCTGATTTGTTTCCTCATATTTTGCATTCCATAAGTAGCTTCCGTGTCTTCAGTTCATCAACATTATTTACTTGCTTGTGCAGGATTCTTGGAAGACAACCCTTCTTTTAAGGGTGAAGGAAAAGCTGAAAGCCAAAGAACTTGAAGAGGATGATCTTACATAAACTGTGATCCAGCATTCTGTTGGTTGGACATAATATTGATGATTTTCTTTGTTCTATGCTTGTCTGTCCTGTTGGTCTGTCCTACACTTGTATTTTATAGAGTGTATTTGCTTTGGTTTCAATTGAATCGGCCGGACTGAATTCAAGAAATGATTTTATTGAGGTTGCTTGAGCTTGAGTATGAATGAAACTACTATGATATCTTGTTAACACTTTACACTCCGTATATGTGGACCAGGTTCTAATGTTATATACACATGTTTTCTTAAGCCATATATATGCCCATATAATTTTATAAAAATAAAAAATTTAACAATCACAATTTTATTTATTAGCATATGTTATGCTATATGATATCTTAAAAATTATTTTAATCTATCAAATTAGTCATCCAATTTCTTTTAAAAATAGAATAATAATTCAGGATTTAAGTTGACAGATCTAAGTTAATTTATTTTATAGATTAATTATCATATTTCGAGAGTAAAATTAATGAGAACTAAATGAAGACTTTTTCAATCTAGTGTAAGGACTAAAATTTTATTGTGTCATAAAGTTATCAAGTTGTCTAAAAGTAATCAAAGTTTTTATAAAATTTGTTGTTTTATTGCTAAATATCAAAATTAGGAGAGTGAAAAGAATGAGACGTGTCATTGAACCTAAAGTAAATTAAGCAAATCATTGTTCATTTTCATTTCCATTTCCATTCTCCGACAATTTGTGGTGGGTTTCCTTTTTTGACTTGGTTTTGTGAGAATCTTTCCTCACAAAAGATGCGAAATCAAAATGCATAGCCGAAGACACATCAAGTGCAGTAGTACATTTTATCAATGAAGTTTTGGCCATTAATTTAATTACATTGCCCTTCATATTTCTTACTAACACTAACACTAGTTAGATGCATTTTTTAAAAATTTAATCAATAAAGTTTTTAAAATATTATTGTCTATATAACATCCTCACATAGAATAGCATGGAAGCAACCCTTGGGATAAATGATGTGCATAATACCATTATTTTTAGTTGGTTATATAAAAAAGAATATGTAGCATTTCAAAATTTGTCTCATCGTTTTTTGATTTACTTGCTTATGTTTCTATGCATTTTGCATCTCTATATATCATAGCATTGGCTTTCAAGGCATGAGATCAAAGTGTTTCTGTGACTCATGGTTTCCTTTTGTTGTCAGAGTATAAACAGCGGACATCAGAGGCTCCAGCATTTATTTTGTCCAACAATCAAGTGGTCGATTTTATTTTATTCAGCATGTTATTTTCAGCTTAGGAGACGGTGTAAAGGCTATCTCAGGCATTCTCACAGTTATAATGTCAAATGACAAGTTTCAGAGGCTTAACAAAGTTCAAAACATGTGGCAACGAGTGATTATACATGTTTTCCTCCATTTGGCGTCAAATTTGACATTTTTTTGAATGTGGTAATCGATTACCTCAGGTGAAATTTGACAAGAAATTAAAAATTTTCAGCACTGTAGATTTTCAACCTTTTTCAACCCTTGATTTCACATGATCTCACATGGAAGGATCTAAAATTGATTCATTTTCAGCATTTCCCTCAAAATTTCAAACACTCCATTCCTAATTTCACTCCTAATTTCCATTCTAAACACTAACCCACATTCCAAACCACATTTTGATTCCCAACCTAGAGCTTATTTAAGTGGATTTGCTCCAAACCTCACACAATTACCTTCATTTTCAGTTTTAACATTCATTTAGGAGAATTTGCTCTCAACTTTCTCTCAACTTTTTCACTCCCAAAACCTCCATTAAAGCTCTTTTCACTTGAGTTCATTGATTCTTCATTGGAATCCTTGAATTATAGAGCTAAATCTCAATCATTCATCTCTATTATCTTCAATTCATCACTCAATTTTTGTTCGAATTTAGATCTGATTTTGGAAGCAAGATTTGAAGTACTTTTTGGATCAATTTTGGTTTGATCTTGCTTGTTCTTCACTTCTACTATAAGGAAGCTCTTGGATCTTGAAGATTTTCTGGGTTTCTAGCTTGAATATGTTAATTTCAAGTGAATCAACACTTATCAAAATAAATCTCAGCTTTGAAGGTTGGTAATTCTAGATCCAATTATGTTTTTAGCTTATTTGAATAATCACAATATAGATCCATGGCTTTTGCTGCATTTTGATCCTTTTGTTTGGATTCGATCTTTGTGATTTATAATTTCAATATTTGATTAAGTTTAATGGATGTTTGATCATTGATTTTTGGTGTTAAATTCGTGCATAATTGATTACATGTTCATGTGGATGATTGGATAAGTTGTTTGCGGCTGAAAAGTGATTTTGGAAGCTGATTTTTGGCCTCTATTATAGTGGTAATCGATTACCTGTATGTGGTAATAGATTACCCTGCTTAATTTTCAAGTTTCAGGATGTTTTTCAAAGGGGTAACCGATTACCTGATCCTGGTAATCGATTACCACTGTGACAGTTTGCCTTTTTCATGCATTTTCTTGCTTGGGCTTCTTTTCATCTCCAACCTTAATGGATTGATATGTTGCATTTATGTGGTTTGTTTTAGACATATTTCATCATTCTTGAATGTTTGATTTGGATTCTTCGACGCGTAGCTTTCGGTTTTTGTTTGAATGCATAACATGTTAATGATGCTTACTTGATGTGATGATCATATGCTTTGCTTACTTGTATCATGTTAATTGATTATCATTGATGGTTATCTTGCTGGATTTGTGATGCATGTTTGCGTTCGCTTCCGATTCCGTTTGTTACATGTTCGTTTGATCGATTGAATTGTGTAATTGATGTGAAAATCATGTTGATCTTATTGATTCTTATTGATGCAATGTTGTTGATCAATTGTGTTTATTTGTTGAGGTATGTCCACACTTGCATGATGCTTGTTCATAATTGGTGTTTACTTTTGATTGATTGCATTCAAGCATGCTTGCTGCCCTGCTTTTCACAACTATTGTTATTCTGATTTTGCATGCTGTCTTTGCCTTGCTTGTTTGTTGTCTGCCTTTTACACCTACCTTTTATGCTGGATTAGTAGCTGTTAATTGTTGTTGTGCTGCCTTGCTGGATTTGCTGGATTTTATTGCTGTTTTGTGCAAGAGGCGCTGTTGTAGCTGCTGTTTTTACCTTGATTTCTTGCTTTTGCTTTGCCTTTGCATGTTCCCTTAGGATTCTTATTCCAACTTAATTTCCGATTAAGCTTGGAGTAGGATAGACATTAGGAGTGTAATCTATTCATGATAACGAGTAGGCTAGTCCCTTTTAACCTCAACCTTAAGTCCATCTTTTGCATGCTAACATTAGGATATAATCTCCTTTCGCATCTCGACCTTAGGATCACTTTGCATAATAACGTTAGGGCCGAGTTTCCCTTAGATCTTTCGTGCGTCTCTTTTCTCATCTCAAAACACTTAATAAGGACGATGAACATTGTATGCTACGAGCCTTAAGTATGTGAAAAATGCCGAGTATGAGGTTTCTCTTCACTTGTCTAGAGTGTTTAGTGTATGCCCTTTGGGCAATATGCGGCGCATTCGCTCCTATATCATAGTCTTTAGTGCAACATGAATCTCAAACAAACTCAATTCACTTCACTAAAACTCACAAACAAAAGTCAAACCGTTTTATCCTTTGGGATTTGTGTTTCAAAATCATTTTCAAAAAAGAGTACGTTACTTTTCTGTTCTATCGCAAACAGGCGTCGACCCTAGCTGCTGGAATTAGAACTTAATATCGCTCATTAAAAATACTTAACCAACCTATGGTTTCGTCGTTACCCGAACTATGTTTGCTATGATTTATCATACCAAATGAGGATACGTAGGCACAAAACGATGATGTCTTGGCGAGAAACCTTCCCCCATCACCCGTAGTTTTCCGAACTACGCTAACTCTGACTTTCCCATTGCACGAGGGAATACGTAGGCATAGGGCGACGATATCCTATCGAGTCTCTTTCTTTTTCTTTGCTCTCGTATCCGTTTAGTATTAGCTTTTAGATAAAACACCCTTTGATTAGACAACAAGTGTGGATTCCGTTGAGTACAACGGACGTGGGGGGTGCTCATTCCTTCCCCTTGCGTAACCGACTTCCGAACCTAAGATTTGGGTTTTCCCTTGTCTTTTCCCTTTCTTTTAGGTTTTCTTCGATCGTTTCCTTTCCCTCTCTTTGGGATAAATAACGTTCAGTGGCGACTCTTCTGTTTTTCCGCCGAGTTTTTTTCGCAGTTGCGACAGCTGGGGAAACTAGAGTCTCTGGTTCCATAAGCGATTCAATCCTAACGCTTGTCTGTTTTTGTCTTTGGGTGTTATATTTGTGCATATGTATGTTGTATTTATATGTTTACCGTTATACATTATTGCATATGCATTTTATTGTCATCATATTATGCTGTTGCTGTTGTGCTGTAGGGTGGATTGTTCCATGAGAGATAAGCCCAATACCCAGGCTTGAGTACACACCTAAGATTAGTGTGGAGAGTAGTGTGGACTTGTGTGACATTTAGTCACACAAGAGTTCACGTGAAATTCATGTCCAGACGAGGTTTTCTTTGGAGACATCCTATCTTGCACATTTAGGGCAGTTGAGGGGGTGTTGAATTAGAGAACTAAGGACTTTGGAGACCGTTAAGTGGAAAGTCAGTTGAGACCTCCTTGATTGACCATGATGCCAAACCAAAAATGGTGTATGTATCATTGTTTCTTGACCTGAGAGTCTGTGATACTGATGACCTGCATAGGATGCCGTACCTTTTCAAGACTAGAACTTACCTGTGAGAGGGAAGGGTTTTGCAGGAAACTTTGACCTCCAACCAACCCGGTTTTCAGGTTTTCTTATCAGTGCGGACTTATGATCTTGGATGTTATGGTATTCTGGGTTTCCGGTTTTCTTATTGGAGCAAAACTCTGGTCTAATTCAGTCAGCAGCACAACAGTTTTGATACTTTGATCCCTGGTTGCATTTGCATATTCATCCTCATTTTTA